TATGTGTAGGTATGTATGTAGGTATGTACGTACGTATGTATGTACGTACGTCTGCGTGTCTGTATGTGTGTATGTACGCATGTATGTATGCATGTATGTACACAGCCACAAACACATACATACATACCAACACAAATACATGAATAACTAAATGCATACATAACTTCGCCTCGCCCCTACGTCGTAGAGATTCTGGTTGCCCCCCCTTTCTTGCTTTTGCATGCAGCCAGGCAAGACGAGCTAGCTTACATCGTTCGTGAGGCTGATGCCAAGATCTGGGACTTCTGGGGCTGTGTCTTGTACTGCGTTGCAAAGCTTGATTCCCCTTCCAGCATATGGGAGGTTGAATTCGAGACCAGTGAGAATGTGATGATAATTACGATTATCATAGTCACGTCTGTGGGATAATGCAAGGAATGTGATACCTTTCGCGTCGGATTGTTGCTCAGAGCCTTAGCATGCAAACAAATACTGACATCGAAAACATAAAACAAATGCGCTCATTCACTCAAGACCTCACCTCTGTGACCTACCCGTTGCTTTCCGAAACAATGCACCTGCTGCAAGTACAGCCGGGCCGAGGCGGACGACGCGAAGCTTCTAAACAAACAAAAACTAAATAGATAAATAAAATAAACAACTACACAAATACACATGTATATACAAATATAGGCATACGTATGTATGTATGTATGTCTGTATGCATGCATGCATGCATGTAGGTATTATGTATGTATATTTATATATAGATAGGTATGTGTCTATACGCATATATATATATGTACATATATATATATAAATTGACACATGTATGCCTGCACGAACACATCGAATTTTCATCGAAATTCCTACACGGCCTTCAGTTTTGAGGCTAGGCAGCTTATGTCACAGGGACCTTGAACTGGTCCTGCAGGGAACCCTTTGTTCGTCGTGCTTAGGTTGTTGGAAATTAGGCAAGCATTGCGTGCGAACATTTTGTCTGAGAGCTATACTTACGCACACCTACATGCCTACTTCTAGACACGTGTAGTATAGTCATATAATAGGTAGAGGCTTCTGCAAGTCTCTGGCTATGCGTAGATTACATGTCTCTGTGCGTCGTAGACGTAATCACCTATCAGTTGCTCGAAGACAGGCCGCACTGCAGTTTCAGCAGCCCAGCTCCACTCAGTGTGACGCGACCACATAGGGCGGACGAGAGTAGAGAAGCCAGGTTCTCTGAGATGGGGTCCCGAATCAAGGTCTGCAAACAACCACCTTTGAACTGATGGTTCCGGTACGGATTTCATGACTGCTCAAAAGGCCAGTAACCAGTAGCTTTCAAGCTCAAGAGCTGCTGCTCCTAAGCGCCTGAAAGCCGCTACGCCCGGCCTGGCAACTCCTTACCCTCCAGGAGCTCAAGAGAAGCGCCGCCGCCAGTGCTGCAGTGGGTGACCTGCACCAAAGTGATGATTCTTATGCTTACGTCTTGCTTTAGGGCTCGAGTTCTGGCGGTTTGGGGCTATGGCTGGAACCGGGAACCAAGCTGGATCACACTGGCTGTTGAAGAGGGCTACCGGTTCCGTAGCAGCAAATAGTATGTATTGAAAGTTACATCTCGTCTGCAGCAAACCTGCAGACTGCGCGCCGGAAGATGTAGGCATGTTGCACATAATACTCAAACCGAACCTGAGTAAATCTGTAGTTAACCACATACATGTACCAGCTCTATGCGCCTTTTTGTGCATGTGTGTAGACACCGGAAAACACACGCAGACACAAGTATAGCACAGCAACATAGACGGGTACATAGCAGAAATGGTGTGGACTAGCCTTGTCCTCTGTGCCGTACTTCTTGCATGCAGTGGCCGTGTCGCCACCGCCGATGACCTCTTGGTGTGCTTCGGGCTTCAGATTCGGGGTTTTGAGTGCAGGGGTTAGGTAATGTAAGGTAGACTTGCAAACCAAAGATCCAGGATGGAGTGTGAAGAGCTCTCGACGGCTTCGAAGACCCGATGGCACCCTTTCCCTAAATTGGAGTCCGCGGCACCGTTGATCCTCATGACAAGTTTTGCAAGAAGTTACAGTTTTCGATGCCTCTCCATATTCAGTTGCAGACCAGGTGTCAAACGAGAAAACCTGGGAATCCCGCAACGAAAGGCTGCACCTACCTGAACGCAGCAATGCCTATGAAACTGGAATGCCCAGCAACGGCTCAGGATATGTGTTTCGCTGTCCGTACCTGTCTTGTACGATCTAAGAATCTAGCATTTGTGTTGGTGCTCCACTATACGGTGCACTGGCCTTTATATCAAAAGCAAAAAAACATCCAACTCTTCTGCCTGCAGCCAAGTGTCAGTAATCACACCTGCGCCGGTTGCCTCGACCACTGCATCCATGAGCTTCTTAGTGCCTGAGACATTGCTTAGAGGCAAAGCGGTTCAAATAAATAGTATATATATATACACATACATACGCATGTTATGTACATACTGAAACAAAGATGTATATATATATACACATAAATACATATGGTCTACGGCTAGAGTTCCAAGACATCGGGACTTCGGGGCAGACTGCCGGATGCAATTTCTGAGTGACTTGGTAAGCCAGAATGAATTCATCGCCGCGAGTCTGCAGAGGGTTTAGGGTTGAAGCTGCGCCCCGACAAGACCCCGCACGTGTTATGATGCCTCGGCATTTCTAACTCAGTTTTTGGCGAAACAACGATTAAACCAAGGCGCATAAGATTCTATGCGCAGTTCCTCCACTCATGCACGCTAGTGTCCGTCTCTCACGCTTGTCTGGGGATCTGGAGAATCATCGAGCTTTTCCGGAATTTCCGATTTCCGCTTGAGCTCTTTCGACGACATGAACCGTTCGCCGCATGTTATTGGCGATTGTCGCTCCGATGATTTTGTACTTACTTACAGGTCCCTGTACACGCTTCTTGCGAGTTCATTTCTTCTCCCTCCAGTATTGGCTGAGTGGCTGATTGGCACCTTTTAGGTGTTCTTCTTGTTAGCCTCACGAACCATAGACTTAGCGTGCCGATACTCAATATACAACCTGCTGGCTAATCAGTCCACCCCAGGCTTCGATTTCGAACCTCAACCTCGTTCCAAGCACCTGTGACCTGCGGAACAGGAAGTTCAAGTACGTGCTTGGAAGATCAGCGGGTTGAGTTGCCGTCAAGATGCCGGAGTTGCGGACGTGACATGGATACAAAGAACAAGAAATGGGAAAACGCGCCGTCCGTGTTTGTATTCATGACGGCAGAAATTCAATTCTTTCCGGCGCAGGGTTCCCATGTTGGGCGGCAAGGCTGTGCAAACTATCTAGTCTGAATGGCCAATGCTGATTACATGACATACTCCCTTGCCAACACGATGAGAACCAAGCATCGGGAGATCTACCTACATCCTCGCTTTGTCTCACCGCTTGAGCGTTGTGGCAACCCTACAGCAAATTCAGATCAGCCATAAAATCGACCGTCATACGACTGCGGCAGGGTTTGGGGTGGACGTACCGAAACTGAAACACCTTGACAAGAAACCCGCTTTAGAGGCCCCGGCCAGAGCGATAGCAGACAACTCGTATCACTCGAAACCTCAACCCTAGACAGATGTCTAAGGTATATACATATCACCCGAGACCTACACCCTACACGCATGTCCAAGGTACCAATCTCGAACTTCGACATCTCGAAGACGCCCATCGGGCCGTTCCAGATGATGGTCTTGGACTCCGCCACGGCCTCGGACGGATCTTCAGGGCGGCGACCCGGCCCCTAAAGAGGGATCCTGGTCCCCGAAAAACCCAAACCTCAAGTAGCAGCAACAGCAACGGTAAGAGTAACAGTAAAAGCAGCAAAGATAGTGAGACACTGGAAGATGATCTACTCCCCACCTTGGCATTCAACTCCACGGATTTTGGGCCGCAGTCCAGGCCCATGAAGCCTTCTACCAGGAAGGCTTGGGATTTTCTTAAGCTTTTTGCCTGGCAGAATCCTAGGGGATGGACACGTCCATCCCGTTGCAGGTTCTTCTAATCGCAGGCCGGCGTTTCAGATCTTTTTTGGGGTCTTCGGCGGCTTTGCAATGCAACGCACCGGCTTTGGTTCTAGGGTCAAGCAGTGTAGGGCTGAGGTTCTCCCCAACGTCTAAGTCATTGACTCAGATCTGCCGTTTTGGGCTGCGCAGTCCAAGCCTTCACCTCGAATCTGTAGCAGTCATGGTGGCAAAACAAGAAGACTGAAGGCAGCAACACAAACGACAACCAGAGCATGGAGAACCATGATGATCGCCATGACGAGCAAGACGTGCAAGCTTGCACATAGTTAAGTCACAGGTCAGTCACACACACAAAGTCAGACTACTCACAGAAAGGGAACATCGAACTCGCAGCCCCCCCCTCCACTTTGAGCTCAAGCCAGTCTCTCATCCCTAGAATTTACCGGGCGACTCCTTGAGTACTGCGGTGCTTGGGATGATGGTGACGATGGTCGCAAGGATGATTGTGGTGGCGGTGGCCATGATGCGAGTTCATGCTACTATCACTGCATACTCTACTTGTTCGCCTTTTGTGCAGGATCCCTTGCACCTCGTCACCCCTAGTTCAGCTGCAGATCCCATGCCCCCACGCTTCCAGAACCTCAGAACCCATGTTTTCAGGAACTCCGACGCGTCAGAGGAGCCATCAGGGATGCCGCCCTCCTTGGTCACACCTGCCGTTTGGGTGGCGTTTTCTTTCAGATTTTGAGAACTGGGGCTTCGAGTGTAGGCTATGCCTATGGGGTATAGAGAAGCTGGACGACTCCCTAAAGCCTAAACCCCAAACATCTGCAACTTGGTGCAGGGAGCCATGAAGCTTCAAGGGCCCAAGAGAGCAAAGAGAGCTTCGAGCTCTGCCCGAGTAAGGGTTGGGATCAGGACTAACTGAGTAACACCTTTGGAACTCCTGCTTCGATCTTCTGGCTCTAGACAACCTAAACCCTTTTTGCTTTGGGCTGACATCTGCTGGCGTCTGGGAGGAATTTCGGGCTATGGCTTCGGCTCGTGTCGATCAGGAACTTGGAGCTATCGATGCAGCAAGCCGGATCCCTGCCTTCCTTGATCTCACCATCCTCGCCAAACTTGGAGGAGCAGGTGAAGTCGACGGGGAGGATGATCTCCACACCTGCAGAGTCCCCGATAAACCTGAACGAAATGCTTGGACCTTCTACCATGATACCCTTCTGCATGACTGCGACACTTCACACTTTAGAGCATTGGCCTCCGAAAAGAAATGTCGGCTACAAGTACCTTCCAATGAGCTGCCGAAGCATGCATTGTGGAATTTGTCCCGGCTTTCGTGGAAGGTTGCCTAAGACGGAAAGTACTCCTGAACCCTAAACCCCCAAAAGCCCTGAAGCCCCTAAACTTCTAAACCCCAATTCTTTCGAGTACTCCCGAACCCCAAACCCTAAACCCTAAAGCCCTAAACCCCAGTTCTTTCAAGCACTGAAGCTGTTGCCGAGATGCCGAGCTTCTCCGCCTTGGCCAGGATCTCAGGGACGATCTTGGCCCCTTCGCACATTTTCGAAGACACTTCAAAGGAGGGTCTAGGGCTTAGGGCTAGGTAGGGCTTTGGATTAGGGTGTAGGGTTTTGAGTTTAGAGGTTCAGGGGTTTAAGGGTTTAGACTTTCGGGTTAAAACATACCCCGAAAGACCACAGACGACCACAGGCACACCAACAGCATGGCATGGAGGCGACAGCAAATGAAGAACCATGCCGAGCCATCAAGCGAACAAGGCATGCCTTCTCAGTTGACGCAGCGGCATATCATTCAAGGGCTTTACGGTGCACGACAAAGCGCACTGCTAGCTCAAAGAGACATGCTGTGCCATTCTGTATAACCACACTGCCCTTCTGGATACCAACTTGCACCAGGTATGCGGTATCAGTAAGATATATACTAGCTTTGCTGCCTGCCATCGTGTTGAAAGCCACTAGATGTGTACCTTCGTGGTTACTACACCAAGAGTCGTTCAACATACCTGTTGTAGGCCTCCAAAGCCGAAAGTGTTGAAGGCCCCCAATCCTCTCTCCCTCCCTACCCAACTAACCCATAAGTTCACGACTTCCTTTGTTGGTGCTTCTTTGCTTTAAGTTACCATCGAGACAAACCGGGCCTTCCTCATCGTAGAGGGAGGTTCCGATGGACATGCTGTCCTTGATCTTGAGGAAAGTGTAAGCCATGCCGCCACCAATGATCATCTTGTTCACCTGAGAAGAAGCAAAATTGAGAATAGAAGAGCGAGCGAGTTTGCGTTCAGCAGAACCTGCTTCTTAGATCTTGGGTTCAAGGGCATGGAAGGAGTGCTAGACCGTCCTCCGATCTGAAAGTAGCTTCACTGAGCTTAACCTGGGTCAGCTTCGGGCCAGGCTTTGGGATGCAGCGAACGGCACCTTGTCCAACATGTTCATGATCAGCTGGATCTTGTCACTGACCTGCGCTTCTTGTGACGGAGGCTCTAAGCTCTAAAACCTTCTTGACATTGTGACAAGACCCCGACATCTCCTCGAATTCTGCAGCTCTGAACTCGCACCCCAGGTAGGTGGAGGAGAGTCAGGACTCGGCAAGTGTATATACCTTGGACCCCTGCAAACAGGAATGCCAAATACGTGCCGATCAGATGCTCAGGCAGGTGGGCTCGCGGATTTTGAGCTGAACGTTCCGCGAATCTGGACTCTGAGCCCATCCAGTCTAATCCCAAATCCCCAGCCTCAAGTCCCGACGTCCTCAATCATATACATCCTCGAGTCTGTAATATTCGTGCCTCAGGCAGTAGAACATGCCCCAAGTACATTAAACAGGTGAAGCTACTTTATGAAGCCCTGGCTTTTGTTCTAAGCGTAAGTTAGCACTGAGCCCCGAGTGCAATTAACAGAAATGCTATTCCTCTGTCCTGGTGAAGCCTACGAGCTGCTTGAGATCAAGTACAAAGGACACAGTAGCAGTTGTAGAAGAAGAAGAAGAAGTGGTAGCAGTAGTTGTGGTGGGGTGGTGGTAGTAGTAGCAGCAGTAGCAGCAGCAGTAGTAGTAGTAGTAGTAGTAGTAGTAGTAGTAGAGGCAGAATAATGGGAGTAGGTAATTACTGGGAGGTGGAGTAGTCGTAGATGTAGAAGCGGCAGCGGCATTGGTACTGGTACTGGCTAGATAGAAGCTAGCGGCTGCGTGGCACACGCAGCTGACAAGCTGCAACCACTGGAATGTTTGCACCCCGCCCGTTGTTATCACGCAAGTGCCGCCTTTGCACCACCGAGGATGGCCAACACGGGCTTGGCGGGGTTGTCCAGGACCTTCGCGAAAGCCTCGAGCTCCTGATGGGTGTTGGCCAACATGCATTGTAGTGTGGGGTTACTGGGTTTACTAGTTTACTGCCTTCGCTTTGGACTTGGGAGACTCCACATATTTCAGCGTGGGCACCCGATGGTATGTGGGCTTTGCGGGTCAGGTGACGTAGAGTAAGCCACGTGCGCTTCCAGGGCTCTGCATGCCTTACAGACTAAACTTCACGAATCCTCCTGGAGCATCTCAAGCATCTTGTCTGATGTCGAAAGAAGCCTTAGCTGCCTTAGCCGAAGCAGAACTTTTGAAAGAATTCGAAGCGCTCCTTGCCCATGAGATCGCCGGCGCACTTCACGTCGAAACCCTCTCCAACCATGGAGCTGTGTGCACGGTGTGCAGTTCCGAAGGCATCGTTGCAGTAGATGTCCGCAAGTTTCCTGCACCATGGGCCAATTTGCTTGGGGTGCGTTTTCCACGCCAAGGTTTGTGTATTTCGCAACTACCAGGTCCTAGCTGTGTCGAAATGATGACGAAGGAGACACATGTATGTGGTATCTAGGCCGGAGCGCATGTGCGAAACCCTGCCAACTCGGAACCACCTCAAACTAATGTAGTACTTCCGAATACCACTGCCGAGAGTATTCTCTATTACGTGGTACCATGCTACAATTGGGAAACTTCCATGAATGTTAAGCGCGAAAGACTGTGAAACAGCATAATGTAACATGGTGAAGCGGACTGCAGTGAACAAGAATTGCAACAAGCGCCATCTACACCCACACAAGGGCCTGTCACCGGCATGTCCTGACACTGTTTCCTGGTGTTTTCAGGAACCACGACCACGAGTTATTCAGGCTGCATGTACGGTGCCCCGAAGAACAGCCCTTGATGACATGAATTTTGAGAGAACAACAACCCTAAGCACCACGCCTGATGGATGCCCGGAATGCTGCTACCTTCTCTTTGTCTGCTTTGATCTTGTTGCCCTGCGGCGAAAAGTTGGCGAACTTAGGTGGCCTTAATAATCAGAATAGGGTTTTGGGATCCTTTATAGTATAAGAAAATAAGAAAATAAGGATCCCCCCAAAAAAACATATAGGTAATTATTAAGGCCCCTATCCTTAGACTAGGCTTGCAGACTGCGGGTTTGCGGCCTGTGCAGTTGAGGCGGGGGCCCAAGAAATGCATCCTTAATTACCTGTCGTCTCCATTGTAGTTCCCTTTGTGGTTTAACATGGATAGTTCATGTCCTATACAGGTGAACCAAAAAAGGAACTACGGTGGAGACTAGGGGTAAGGCTCCAGTACGGGACCCTGCAAGGGAAGCTTCGTTCTTCCAGTTCTGCATGCGCAGCTGGAGGAGGTAAAACAATGGCTACCGTAAGTTGTTCTGGCAGAGAGTTGCATGGGTATCACGTAGCTCTGCTCCTGCGCAAAGCAACGATGCCCCGAAGGCTGTGCTTCAGGAATTCAATTTTTGGGCAATCGAAAACGTTTCGAGGGTATGGACCGAAGACCATCAAGCCCCAAGCTTGCAACTCCGGGGCCGAGGGGTTGCTGCCTTCTTGTCTCTGCCAACGCGTTAAGGTTTAAGCGTCCCAACGTCAGTTCCCAACTATCCAAAATCCTCCCCCCACCCACCACTCAACTCCGATCCCGGCCTCGGGATCAACTCCCTTGCCCTCCTCTTCCACGTGGAATCTCAGGTTCCTTGGCTTGGGACGAGGTAACACTCCCGGGCTCCTTGGCACATGAACATTTTCGATGACATGGAATCCCACCCTAACCTCAAAACCCCAAAACCACTCCATCCGCATAAGCCCTGCGTCCGGAACCCTACTGCTAGAACAAGCTCCATCCGAGTGCTCGCCGTGCTATTATGCTCTGTATTTCTCCTGCCGTTGCTACTGCTGCTACTCCAGTGCTCCTATACTATTACAGCTATCAATATATTCTGCTTATGGTGCACAGCTCGTACATGAATGATCCATGTGGCTCCAGAAGGATCACGCTGCCAGCCGCGGGGTCAGCGCACGTAGCCTCCACCTCTGGCCTCCCGGGGTTAGGGTTCAGCGGTTTCGCGGTTTCAGGGTTGAAGTGAGTCTAGTGTTTCCGGGTGTGTAGTCAGAGTTGAAGTCTTGATACAAATCGACTCAGTTTCCGGCCCGACGCAGTCAGTGCAGAAAGTGACCTGAGAGTCAACAAGAGTCAAGACTTATTATGTTAAGGATCGGGGCTCCTAAAAGAAAATATGCATACATACATACATGCATACATACATACATACATCCATGCATGCATACATAGATACATACATACGGACAGACATACAGACATACCTATGTACGTATGTATGTATGTATGTATGCAAACATGCATGCATGAATGTACGTATACATGCATGCGCGTGCAGACGGGTGTGTATGTGTATGTGTATATGTATGTGTGTGACTGCGTATGTGTATTATGTGTATATGAAGGCAAGCCAGCACTGATCATGTTCAAGAGACAGTCAATATCACCGAATCCACAGTCTGCACGATGTCGGTTCCAAGTGCCACTCCAGTGAGATACGAAACTCACGACCCGGAAATCGCGTGCCAAGGAACCCCGCACCAAAAGCAAATCAACTGAGCAAGCAACAATGCCCTCATGCAGACATGCAAACAGTTCTAGGTGCCGGACTGGCTTGCCCAGCTTCTCCTCCAGGATCTTGGCCACTGGGGCCAGCGAGTACTTCGAAACGACCTGGGACGGAGACGACTCGCGGAGATTGGGTCGCAGGCGTCATCACCACCGAGATCATCAAAGCAATCACGACCATGATCCCCAGCATCGCAGCCCTGCCGCCCCTCTCATGGTCGTCCTCCACAATCGAAGCGTGAACTCCACAAAAGCTCCCGAGCACCTTCCAAGACCTGAGGCTCCTGCGGAGCCATCGGGGCGGCCGAGGTGGGAAGCAAGGACGACGGACTTGGCGCCCTTCTCCAACACCTCTTCGCGAGACTTCGAGGTGGCCAAAGGCTTGCTTGGCTTGTCGGAACTTTTGCAGGAAAACCCTACTATACTATACTATACTTTACTTTACCATACCATAACAACAAGAGGGAAAAGCTCATAACAGTTTAAGTCAATATTCCGCACAGCAAAGATGCATCGACTGCAGGGGCCGTAAGAATTGGAATAGTTTTTTGGGGTATCTTATACTGTAATTTAGGGTTTTGGGGTATATTATACTGTGCTTGAAAAAGTATTGGTAACTATTTAGGCCCCTATATTACACCTAGAGCCGAAACCTTCGACGATCGCATTCATCGGCTGTGTCCGCGGGCCTTCTTGATGGTAGGCAGGGCCCCGTCAATGCGCTGTGTGTTGGTGATCTTGGTGGGGTCGGCCTTGTCCTGTGGGCATGAACACGCTCGAACCCCTGAATGCCAGGCGTTGTCTACAAATTTCGAAAAGTCTACAACAAGCCCACCCCTCGCACAGGTACCAAAGAGAAATGCAGCACACGTCGCTTCTGAACAGAAAACCGCGTAATGGGTTCGGAGTTCCGGTAGTCTTGTCCTCGCTAAGCGTTGGCTGTGTTGGGTGTGCTGGTGTGGTGGTACGCCAATAGCTATAGGAACAACACAGAGTAACGATAGCAATGCTGAGCTGAATGCTCGTGTGGCGGCGATGCGGTTTAGTCCTGTGGCACGTTGAAGTCCACTCTCATGAAGACCCGCTTTCCAGCGACATCCACATCGTTGATGCTGAGCTTGGCCGGCATTGCGAAGCTGCTAAAGTGAGTATAAAGAACACGGGCGTCTGAGAGCCAGAACAAAGCTGCTACATGCACATTTCAAGGGGTCAGGAAAACTGGCTAAAGAATATGAGTCGTTTTGCATGCCTGGATGCCTGTATTCATGGATCCTGATGGTGGATGTATGATCATGTATGGCAGTGAGGGGTCGGGGGGCATTCACGCTGCCTCTGAGGTAGACATGCAGTGTCAGTGCGATCAAACCACGATTGCAGGTGTCTTTCTTTCTTTCTTTGTGGACCGCTCAGAGCACAAGTTGCGCATGAAGCCAGCACGGACACATAATCCATGCGTCGCTGTGGGCCAGGTGCAACTTTGTGCAGCTAGCTCATCCATCGAGCATTCATCTCCTTGTCTAGCCATGTTGGGAGCACTTTCCGCGCAATTCTGCGACGCCTTCGGTGGCGTCCAGGACAGGCGGGAGCTTCACGTACATCGGAGGACCAAGAAGTGTGACACTCACAGCGAAGCGTCAGCAGAGCGTTGGTCCTAGAGCTCCTGCAACCGGCTGCTTTGACTCGGGGCTTCGAGTCTGGAGTTACAGGAGGACCGAGATCCCCAGGTTGGATGCTTGCATCGAGCCTTCGACCCAGAAGAGCGCTAAAAAAACTAAGATGTAAAGTAGATGTGGAATCCGTTACGGTGGAACTTCGAGCCTTAAGTCCGGAGCCCAGTTGCAGTTGGGATCATCTGTTGGCATTCCGAAAAACATGCCTGATGTAGAGGCCTCCATAACTTGGGGGTATCTTATACTCCACTTCGGCTCATCGCCTGCGAACCTCACGTAGCGGAGTAGTGCGCCTTTGGGGTTAGGAGCCTGAGTCTCTGTGACATTCAAGGGCTTCAGCTTGTAGTGACGTCTCTCTGCGCTAGATTATCGAGGAGTTTATGGAGAGGTGCAGTGCGACTGAGTGCTCAAGACACACGGGTGGGGTTGAACGAAACCTATTTTGTTATGGCTTGTTATGGTTATGTGATGGTATCTTATATCGGGAAGCTTCATCTACGTGAAAGGCTCGATTAATGCCGGAAGCCTGCATCACGAACGCCAGAGCTAACTAAAATCCAAAGCTGCAAACTCAAGTGTGCTTAAACCGACATAAACCCACAACAGCTCTTTCACACTGCAAGGAATTTTGCAAGCTGGAGCCGTGTGCCGCATCTCCCAGCCAAGGCTTTCAGACCCTTAACCCAAACCTTGCTTGAACCAGGTTGCAGCCTAAACCACCCGACCCCCAAGGCGTACATCTACATTGAATCTACATGCCTGCAAATCTGCGCTCATGAAAGGATCCTGCAGACGTGAAAAGTTCCAGGATACTAAGCTCGTTGCAAGGGCAGCTTCAATTAGAACCTGTACGCCCTAATATAGGGGCCTTCATAATTAGAATAGGGGTTTTGGGGGCCCATTATACTATAATGATAATAAGGAACCCCCAAAATAGTATTGGTAATTATTTGGGCCCCTACAGTAGCCACAAGCCAGGCAGCTGAGGGCCTCCTCTTCGTCGCTGGACCGCGGGGGTTTCAACGCTGCGCACCCGAGCTTCTGCTGCAATCTCGCGACCACGTCCCCACACCTGCAGTGTAGGCTTCCGAACTTACCCTAACCCCGCAGGTATCTACTGTATAGGGCCCTAGGGGCTCTAGCACCCTATATAGTAGGTACCTAGGAGGTTAGGGTTAGCTTGGAATTGTAGTCGCATCTTCGGGTGCAAGCGCGCATGCAGCATAGGAGCTGATTGGCTGGTCGTCAACCAATGACCAAGCTTTTAGTGATTATCGCAGGTGCTTAGGGTCGCAGGATTCGGGTTTATGACATCTATAGACGATCGGACGATCGACGTGATTTTGTAAGGCAAGTACTGACACATAATCTGTAGTTAAGTATGTTAGGAGTAAGAGTCCGCCTTGTCTTCGAGCATTTCGTTTTTCTGGCTGGTGCTTGGGATAGCACATGGTGGAGAATTGTCTGGCGCAGCTAGCATGTTCAAGTCGTCCAATCTTCTGAACTCAGTTGGGCTGTGGTGGAAGGCGCAAACGCGCAGACTTATGCGGCTTCAGCCTTTCTCTCTGTGTGTGTGCCTTGGAAGCGCTAGTTTTCCGAGCTGACTTTGCAAGGTCTTACAGGCACCCTCTTTCACTCCTAGAGTTGGAGCTCTGTCTGAAGACGATGAAAGCACACGGCCACCGCCTTATTGCCTTCCCATTCATTCTTCACTCTTCACGCTCAGAACAAAGTGACCTGCTGAAAGAAAGCCTGAATATTAGCCTGAACATACCCTTGGGGTGAACCTTGGACCCTGGAGCCCTATAGAACCTGAAATAGGGCTTTATAAGGGCTCTGTTTTAGCATTAGGGCTTTATGAGCGCTTTGTTTTAGGGCTAGTATATGTGAAGGTTTCTGCAGTGGGCACGAACCATGAAGCTCATGCATGATATGCGACGTAAGCTCTCGTGCCCTTCACGCAAAAGCTTCAGAGCTTCTCCGACTTGCAGTTCGGGATTCTGAGGTTCATATTCAGTTCCTCTAACCGGTTCCTTTGCAAGGAAAGAACAAGAGTCTGATGGCAAGAGGGGTTCAACGAGGATCTTTCCCGGCTGAGGCATGCTTCACGTTGCAAGAGTGCTGGCGAGCTTCTCTCAACCCCTAAACCCAAACCCTTTCTGAGGACGAAACGATCTTCCGGTGACGTACTTTCCGTGCCAGGAGACATCGGCCATGCGAACCTCGGACGAGCACATGCAAACAAGCTAACATCGGGGCCTTGATGATTAGACTGGGCTTTTTTTGGGGGTATATCTGAAACTGGAATTCTAGTGGGAACCACAGCAATAGTATCAGCAATTCTTCAGGCGTCCATGATTGAAAAGGCAATGCCAGAGACCTAATGATTACAGGTGGGCAGGTCTCGGGCCTGGTGGACCTGGGGCCCTCTGTGTACTTCGAAGCGCGAGTAGCTAGAGCTACCGGGGGAACAATGAGCTTCCGAAGGGACGGAACGACCAGCTGCCTAGCACGCAGCTCAAGTAGCCGAACCCTTATCCTACAAGTCTTCCAACTAGCAGTTGAGAGAAGTGGCTGGAGACATGGTTTAGAAAAGCACTGACTTACATGCGAGGTTTCCGATATATCTGGTCCATTTGCATTGCCAAACTGTGCCCGCCTCCGGCGGAGCTTCGAAACAGCCTCAGTTCGGGTTTTGGGCTTAGGACTTCGACGAGTCCGTTTCTACCTTGAAAGCATCGGCCACTGAAGCGGGTGTAGTTGCTGCAGCTCTGTGCGGGTGCCGCCCGTGCACCGTCGGCTTCCCAGGAAACTCAAGTGCTTTCTGTTTGGTCGGAACCCTTGTTGACGGCTTTGTGTATGCAAGCACTTCGCATACCGTTTATCGACATCAGGCTGGCTTTGGAGTCGAGCCAAGTCATGACTGAATGGGACACGAGCTGCGGTTCTTTTCATCACCCAACTTTAGTGTGTAGAAACGGCAGTTTCTCACAGCTAGTGCCCTCAACCGGATTGTCTCAAGCGATTGTTTCCCTCAGCACTCACAGCGCATCCGCGACACGCAAGCATGCAAAGCAAGTCCACAGTTTACGACCAAACGCAAAAGGACAGAGTCAGCATGGCGTATCATCCTGCAGACTAGACTAGCCTTAGAATACCCAGGTAAAGGACGACATGCACTTGGACTCCAAGTAAAGTTCTGTCCTGATCTTGAAGCTCACGAACCCTAAACTTGAACTTCTCAACCGACCCACAGCACGGACCAAGGAGGCCACGGTGGTCCGGACCGCACTCTGCGGTCACCACGTAGTTTGGCGCGTACTGGGGAAACGTGTGGTGGCTCGAGGGTCTGAGTTCTACACCTCCTTGCTGCGATGCAGGGGCCGAAATGAGTAGAATTAGGCTTTTTGTGGGCATCTTATGCAAGATAGAACATGTAACTAGCTATTCAGGCTAGATTCTCATGACCGCCCACAAAGCTCCAAATTCCAAAGGCGACATCTCGGGCAATCGGCCGGGGATAAATTGGACTTGCCTTGGGAAGGATCAGAGCTCGGATAGACTGCCCATAGCCTTCATGGAGTCTGACTGAAGTTCCACTCAGGCAAGGACGCCCTGACGACGCAGGGGCGGCAACGCTGCAGCCCAGTCGCTCTGGAACCTGCTGCTTTACATCGTTTAACGATGGCTAGGGATGTCCTCCAAAGCACAGCATTACTCCTACAGCTACTGCTGCTGCTACTTCTACCGCTGCGGTGATGGGTCGAGCATCCTTGCAACGACACCAAGACGGCGATGTCATATATAGGCATGCAGTAGTCTCATGCAAGCGGGATAACCTCACTACTGCAGCTTCAGCGCGAGACAATACTCAGGTCATCAACTACCAGCAGCATGGACATCAGCGAGCACAATAATCGAAACGATGCAGCTTCAGCTGAGGTCGTGGCCGCAGTGCATTGGCCATGTAGGCAAAGGTGCCTTGCATTTCGCACTTGCACCGCGCAGGGCAGAAGTGACGACCAAATACTGCGAGGCAAGGGGGCGCTGTGCAATGCCGCGGCTGAAGTTATCGTCAAAGGATCTTCGATCGTTATGGAGATGGGGTTGGGCCGTGTTCGGCCCAAGTCCTGCGTGAAACGCTCTTTGCAAGTACCCTGCAGGGACACACATCCAGGATGGAACTCTGAGAAGGCCCGAGGGAATGTTCGATGTGACGTACCTTCTGAAGAGTCTATACTAGCACCAGTGGCAGGAGTCTAGTATCAAACCATGCGGACAAAGAAGAACACTAGCAGCAACTATGATTGTTTAGTACAATACTTTTGCAAGTGTGTGTGTGTATATACATATGTAGATATGATATGCCAATATGTAATTATACCTCATATGCATGCCATGTATACATGCTTTTATGTTATGTGTGATATATGTATATATGTAGGTTTTGTGGAATATA